TTGTTACAGCTCCTTGGTTAGGGTCATCCTGTGGCACCCGGGCCTGGCTCAGGGCCATTCCGTGCAGTGGGGGCACCCAGCCTCCTCCCTGTGACCGCAAGACTCTCCGCAGGGCATGAGTGTCCATCATCTACATGCTTATAAAATAACATTAAATGAAAAGGAAATTATGAAATTGTATGGTATGATGCCCATTTACTTAAAAAAAAATGCGTTAATATATCTTTATATTCACTTTCCTGGGAAACAACCACCACCTGTCATGGTCCCCAGATGTCACTCGGGATTGCATCAAGGTGGCAGTTACTGGATTACTTACATTTTATTCTTTCCTTTTATCTGTTTCCTTAACCCTTTATATTGGGCATTTGTTCTGTTTATGAACAGATAATAACTATTTTTTCAGTACAACAGCCAGATTTGAACATACTGCTATGGCTGTAACTGACTTCTTCAGAGTAGAACAGACCTGACACTACCAGTCACAAATGTAATGGTCATGTTAATTAACTCAACTTACAAGGTCAGAGGTCATTTTGCTATCTCTAACATCCTAGGAATTTATCCTTTTGAGTGGAGTAAAAAACGTCTTTAGTTGACAGAGCTATCAATGACTCATTGGAGGTGAGGACAAAGTAACTACAGTGAAGAGAAGTCTGCATGGGTTCATTGAAAGATTCAGGGAAAATGGATTCATCGTCACAAAATGTGCAATATATCTGCAGTAGTGAGCTATGCCATTAGGCACTAATGATTGCCAGATAGAAAAATATTAGCCATTTTTGTTGCAATAAGCTGCAAAAAAAATACTTTTCAGGAAAAGCCAATTGTTGAGAGGATTAAGAGTGAAAATGTGTGCAACTTGTAGTTCATCATTCCACCCTCTGCTTTTGATTTTATTGGGTCTACTTGAAAATTACTTTATGAAGTACTTTGGAGACCAGATAATTATCCAACACGGGAGTCAGCCAAATGTGGTCCACAGTCAAATCTTGGAACACAGCTGTGCTCTTTGCCTGTCATTTTCTGTAGCTGCTGTTATGCTACCATTGAGTTAGTTGAGAAAGAGTAGAGTGTCAGAGAATGCACGACCCACAATGCCTAAAATATTTACTCTGGTCATTTACAAAAAGTTGCTAATCTCTGACTTAACCCATCAAAAAGTAGTTATTCGGGCCTCCCCTGGTGGCGCAGCGGTTGAGCGCTGGCTGTGAGGCTGCCCGCAGCCTCTGCAGAGCTGGTTCATTCCCCGGCCACCGGCGAGGGTCCCCCCCCCAAAAAAAAGTAGTTATTTACTGCATTGAAAGCAGCTTTAAATTTAATTAAGAAAAATTTTGCACTGGGCCTTTAACATTGGGAATATATAAGTTGCAGATTTTGATGGTAGAAGTATTTAAATACGGAAATGCCTATTCTTTCCCCCTACAATCATTGAACTCCTCAGAGTTTTAATTAAAAGTGACAGGTTGTTTAGGTTGTAAGTTCAGTTCACTACCCCCCTTCCCATTCAGAACAGTGAAAAATAGCTAAGGGGAAGACAGAATGACATTCCAGGAGAATTTGTTACTACACATATTCACCGCATAATCAGCTATAGCATTGATTGATTATTTCTTGCAGGGCTGAAACAGAATTCAAAATGGCTTTGGCAAATCACAGAAATTTAAATTGAGGAAAAATCCAAAATTTAGCTATTCACTGAATGTGTTTGTTCACTTTTCTTAAAACATCTGGGTACTTGAAATATCCTGATGATTAACTGTAAAATTAACACTTTTCATCTCTGTACTGAGGACACTAAAAACCAGCCATAAACAATCCAAAACGAAATAATGCACAGCAGGGTTAAACAAATTGCAAGTCACACAGGAAGGAAAGAATTCAGAAAACTGAAGTGTTGGATGATTGATAATAGAACCTAGATTCCAGAGTAAGGGAAGTGAACCACTCAATGTTAGATTTAATGCTAAATTTTTCTGAAGGAGCTCTCTCTTGAGAAGCAAAATTTTGTCCTGCCAGCATTTTGGTAACCGTTATAAATTTTTTTCCCTTTTCCTAAAGAGAGATTACTGTGTTTACCACTTTAGAGAAGAAATTATTATACAAGTGATTTAGAGGCAATCTGAGCATCCGCTGACCAGGATGCTGTTTTTATCTCTGCGAAATGAGGATGAATTTCTTGACACTGTTTTTAACTTGAATTTCAGATATCAGGAGAAATGAAAAACCACAGTTGCCACATTTAAATCCCCAGTGTGGACTCATCCGTCAATACAGGAAAGCAGCTATAGTTTTATTAAAACCAGTTTATTCCACTTTGCTGTAGAAAATCTGCCATTATTGAAACATTTGTACTCACGTTATAGAGAATGTGATAAACAGAACAGGATAGTTCATTCTGTCTTTTATGTGTTTCAGATGTGTATAGACCCTTCCCTGTCAGTAGCTTTGGGTGATAAACCACCCCCATTGTATCTCTGTGAAGAATGCAGCCAGAGGATTGCTGGGTAGGTATTAGTGCTCAAAGAAAAGGGAGTAAGGCAACATCGAGAACAGAAGAGCTAGCATTTGGACTTAAATCCGTTACAATGGCCATCCTTCCCATTAGCCTCTCTGTTTTATAAAGGTTGGTTTGTCCTATGACTTAACACAGAACTAACTTGTATTTGAACGACTTGAGCTTTGAAATGTTACATTTTTCTCCTTGTGAGAAGAGAAAGCTCTTCCACTTGATAAAGCAGCTCCAATATTCAAGTGACCTGGTTATAAAGACCACAGAGAAAAAGAAAAGATAACTGTGGTTTTCAAACATGCCATATAATTCATATGGGTTCTCTTTGCTTTTTAGTTTCACAAAATGACACTCAGCTTTGTACAAATCATGCTGTATTTTGGTTGACTTAATTAGCATCTGGAAAGTATCATTTAAAGATAACTGAATATGATGAAATGCCTATAATTTATAATTTAGCTGGAATGCATTAGACATTTAAAAAGTTTATTATCATAGTGCTCTTAATTACATTTCCTTTTTATTAAAAGCCTTTTAGCAAGAGTGTGCAGCTTATAAACATTCATGCAGAAGGGTAACATTGCAAAGAAACTAAAAAATGAATTTGTTTTTCTTTTTAGGGACCATAGTGAGTGGCTGATTGATGTTCTTCTTCCACAAGGTATGGTTGACTTCAGAAAGGATGAATGATGAGTAATCATGACTAATGGCATGGTTGATTGTCTCCTTAGCATCTTTTATTTAACAAAGACAGTAAGCACAGTATTACATTCTATGAATATTCATTGAGATGAAGCATTTTATCAATGCCTTGCTTATAATGTGCCCACACATTTAATAATGAGGGAGGAGTTATCATCTCTACTAAAATTAAGGGCAGATGTTGAAATTAGAATTCATACGATGAAAGAAAGTGCTGCTGAGTTAAGTGTTAAGGGAGTTTCTGTATCTATAACAGGTATTACCAGAGTGCTGTTGCTTTGCCAGGTTAGAAAGGGAATTAGGAATAAGGAATATCAGTGTGAAGAGAATTCTCTTCCTCTTCCTGTGATTACTAGTTCTGTGTTTTTAGGGACAATCATTTAATCATTCTGAGACTCAGTCTCCCCATTAGTGAAATGAAGATAAAGAATATCTGGCCCATCTTAATGAAACCATGAGATTGCAGTGCACACTTGGGGAAGAAAGTATTTATTCTAGCCACCTAATTAGAGACCAAAATGAGAAGGAAAGACCTCAGAAAAGCAGAGGAAAGATGAAAGGTGGAAAAATCTGGGCGCATACTGAGTCAGGATCAGTGCCCAGGAGGAACCGGGTATATGACTGAAGAGGTAGTTAAAAGAAATTGTATGAAAGGCTTCATTCAAAAAGAAATGTACAAACTTAGGTTATCTAGATTTTGTGAATCTTTACAATATGTAAGGAATCTGCCTGATAATTTTTTTTTAAAGATTTATTTATTTATGCATACAAGAACTGGGGTATAGGCCAGAGATGAAGGGGGTGAGAGATTCACCAGAGATAGAGAAGGGAGCAGAACAGGCAGACTGATGAAATACACTGCTGAGGGGAGCAGCGGGCGAGTCAGGAGAGGTCTGCTGTGCCATGTGGGTTGCTCCCTGGCTGGCTGGGGATCAAACTCGTGCTGCAGAGGCTGCAGATTGCTTCATCGTGTGGTGCTTAACCCCTTGTGCCACCAGGGAGGTCCAATCTGCCTGATAATAATAACACTAGTTTTGTGGTCTAAATTTTAATACTAGGTCATCTCAATCTTAAGAAATTAATTTATTTGGTGAATTTATTTATTATTAAATTAATTTATCAATAAGATGGAGCAATATGTCAGACTCTGTGTCCTTCCACGAGACAGTTTGAAATTTCATATGAGAATATTTGTAAAACAACTTGGGTGTATATGTGTAAAGGTAACTTTCCCCCTTTAAATTAGGCTACTTTGTTAGTGATCTTCCAGTACTCTGAGGGAAACCCACAGTCAAGTTCTGAACAACATTTAAGATGTCATATTCTGGTCATCCTCTCCAGATGATACTTAGCTTTGGAAGAAAATTGATAATAACTTCTCATTATTTATCTAGAGATGTGTTAAGTTAAGATAAATGCTAAGATATAAAGCTATTAAATATGATTAATTATACAAAACCAGTTCTTAAAACTGAGGGGTAAATTTCATTGAGTTGGCCTCCATTAATTCCTACTTTCCAGACAAGGCTTGGGAGACACCTTTGATCTTTCTAACAAATTATAACAGCTCATACTGCTTTAGTTCATTTTTTGAGTACTTATTATTTCTGGGGAAATGTTAGCTAACATTTTCGTATGTTAATTAACATATTCTTGGACAAACAAATCTCAAGTGTTCATAAGCACCACTTTTCATGGAGATAATTGGTATGCCCACTAAAAAGACTTCTTACCCATTTGTTAAAGTCAATCCCAAAGTGCACAGTCGTTTTGTGAAACAACTTACTCCAACTGGTCACTCCATGGGCTTGACTGTTGCTTTCCCTTAAATACACACCAACACAGCCTTAGAGTATGAGGGGAAGATCAGTAAAAGCAGAGATCTGGCTCTGGATCTACCTCTCCGTGGATAAGCTGGGTGATTGATCTCGAAAAAGTCATGTGACTAGAGCAGTTCCCAGTTTTGTTCTCTGTAAAATGAGGTGAGATTAAAATTTTATTGATCTGAAATCTAAGTCTTGTCTGAGAATGTTGACTTACTTAGAAAAAATCTGTAAAGTATGTTGCTTGCAGGTATTTTTAACCTTATAAAGCAAACCCCTAAATCACTGCCAGATGAGAGATACATTTCATGCTCTCTGAGGAAAACAGAGACCAATAGTAGATGACGGTTTACGAGACAAATGAGAAGCTTTTGACCAAGTGTAAAGACTGTGTTACTAAGCTGGTTTTTCACTTCCCTTCATGGCTGCCCTTATTTAAAATGGGCTCTTTCTTTGTTGATTCTGTGTGCCTTCCCCTTACAGCTGAAATATCTGCTATATGTCAGAAGAAGGTAAGCGCAACCATCTGTGTGTGGGGGCATGGTTTGCTGTGTGTGTAAATTCGCTCATTGACAGCTGCCTCATTTCTGCAATGTGGTGTCCCAGTGTGCACATGTCACTGTATTTGTGCAGGGGGTAAAGAAATAATGTAGCATGCAAGGTTGCTGTGCCTGAATGGTCTGTTTCCATTTCTGCTTTTGCTCAAACATCTTATGCCCAGTGTTTTTGACAAATAATCTGAAATAAAGTAAAAGCATATATGTAACAGTTGGATAGAGGCTTAAAAGTCAAAAAGGTTTGAATGACAGTGCAATATACGTGCAACTTCAGTATCTGGCATGCTAACAATCTTCATTGTTTGAGGTGGAAGACAAATGGTTCAATATATGGGTGTCAAAAACATACCCAGATCAACTATTTATGGAAAATAAATAACTATTTATTTGTAAGTTGAATGTTATTTCTAGTTAAAGATTCCTTCTTCAACTTTCTTTTAACCATTTTTCTCTACAGTTTTCCAAGCCACTTCCATTTTACAAAGAACCGTGGGTTAATTGGTTGAGATACTGGGGTTCTGATCAGTTCTATTCCCACTTACCTATGAGACCATATACAAGTCATTTAAACCTTTTAGGAGATTGGCCATGAGTGGGTCTTTTTGGAGAGTGATTCAATTACCTATTGCCACATAAGAAACTAATAAATCTAGTGACTTATAACCAATATTTATTTGATCACAATTCTGGGGCTTGGCAGTTTGGCCTTTGCTCAGCTAGGCAGTTCTTTTGATAAACTCCTCCAAGTTCACTCAGGTATTTGTAATCGGTTGGTAATTTGTAATCAGACTCAGGATTGGCTGGTCCCAGATAACCTCACTTCCTTGTCTGGGGCCTCAGCTGCGATGGCTGGAATGGTGGGGTGAGTGGGGCGTCTGACCCTTTCTCTTTCTGTTAGATTTCTCATCCTCCAGGAAGCTAGTTGAATTTATTCTGAGAGAATGAGAGGAGCTGCAAGGCCTTTTGAGACGGAAGAGCAGATGTTGTCTGGCATAACTTCTGCTGCATGCCATTGGTCAAAGCTAGTTCAATGATGGGGAAGGAGACCTCTCTTCTTAACAGGAGGAACAGCAGGAATGTTGTGGTTATATTTAATCTACCATAATCCACCTCTGGACGTAGTTATTTATATTATTACCATATGCAGAGTGCTCTCACCATCTTACAAGACCTCCCAAAAGTCTTACCTATTTATGGTTCCAGGCTGACAGTCAGTTATTCCGAGATCTGCATCAGGTCTGGTCACTGATGAAACTCCTTGAGTACAAGTTCTCTTGATCCATAAACCTATAAATAAAAAGGCAAGTTATTTGTCCCCTGCAAACAGACATAATGGTGAGCTAGGGACTGGAAAACAGCAAGAGACTTCTATTCAAAAAGAGGAAGAAACGGCAGGCATCAGTCTCTGGTCTGTAGAAGTACCAGCCAGAACATGTCAACTGTTCCTCTGTCTCCTGCACAGTGAATGTGCCTTAGTCACACTGCCTTTTGCTTCCTGGGAGGAGCTCCCGAATACATGGTTTGTCCTCCTGGGCTCTTCGCTTCACTCTCTGGGGCATCCATCTTTCCTTTCTGATAGGAAAGTGCTTTTGTTTTGGTTGAGTTTTCTTCCTGCATAGAGAAGTTGGGGGTCCCATGGACTCTTCATGTTGAACTGTGTCTGTCCCCTCTAGTGTAAGCTGGTGGTGCTTCACCAGTATGATTTTCTTTAAAATTTTGAGATTTTCAATGAAGCTCATTGGGGTTCCATGCCCCCAAAGTCACATCCTTACTTCTTTTCAAAGACAGTCTTTTCTATACTTTGACATTCCACTCTGCATTTAAAAATATTAGAATTCCTGTTCTAGTTGACAGGCTCAACCAGGTACCTTACTTTTTTTCTGGAGTTTTATTAAAGGATCTCGCAGTCATTCAGGATACTTTTGGTTTGATTTTTATCCTGAGGCTATGTCTTAGTTTGAGAATCTTTTACAAGAGACTGGAATGAGAGACACATTTATTTTCTAAATCAGCATGTCCTTGTTCTGGTGATATACCTTACATACTTGATACCCAGAGGGGATCATTATTTAACATTCTCCTCCATCCTATGATAAAAATCTTTTAGTAATAAGCATCAGTTAGCATGTTTGTTACCTACTCTATAACATACACTGTCTTCTAAATTAATTTTATGTTATGGTCATAATAGTTCAGAATTCCTTCAGTCTGTGTTGGGCCTCTTTCAATACTACATATTCCTGCATTTGAACAGAGGTTTTGAAATCAGTAAATGACAGCATTAAGATTGTAAAGAAAAAGAAACAGACCTTGATTTATTTCAATTCTACATTCTGTGAGGCCACTTGGAGTTGTTTATTCATGTTTAGAAATCAAAGCAGTGAAACGGAGTAGCTGGAGTGAACATTTGAAAACCATGCCCAACTGAATCTGAATCTGAGGAAGAATTTTCTAATTCACTTTTGAAATGAATGCACATATCTCAACATGGGTTGAGTTGCTGCTGTGGCTTGGAAATAGATTATTAAAACTTAGCAGGAACCATAGCTATTGTTTAGACCAAACAAAGGTTTATTTTTGGACAAAAAATAAAAGTATTTTATTTGTGATGTTGAGAATTGATGGCAGGTTGATTTTTAGTTGGGATGCCAGATACTATTATATGCGCTACATCCAGACACGGCATAGGAAATCACTCAGGGATTTGGACGGGGCACAGGCCATGCCTGTCTCTGTTCGATGATGTTTGGGGCCTCATCTGGGAATACTTGACTCGCTGGGGGCTGGGATTATCTGGATGCTTCTAGCTTGTATGTTTGGGGCCTGGAAGGTGGTGATTTGAAGACTTGGTCAGTGGGCTTGGTCAGCACTGTTAATAAAAAACTTAACTCTTCATGTGGCTTGACTGTGGCAAAATATTTTGAGAAGAGTATCCTATGAGGAAGTTTCTGAGGAGAGAATATTCAAGACAGCCAGGTGGAAGGTGCATGTCTTTCCATAACCTGGCTCAGGGTTCCTGTGGTACTTCGGCCATACTGTCTCGATTGAAGCAACCATGAACCCACTTAGATTCAAAGCAAATGGGGGCACCTGAGGAACCAAAGCCAGAGGACCTCATTCACAACTGGACTTAATTTATTTTTTAAATTTAATTTTTTTTTCATTGTCATTCTTTTTTTGAACAATATTTTATTTCTCCCCTCAGGTGTCGTCCCCATAGTTCTCCCACCACCACATCACCCCTGCACCTTCACCCTAGTCCCTTGTGCTCTTCCCTCCCCTGTTTTGACCCTTCTCCGTTACTTTAGTGAGAGGACCTTGGACCTATAGCCAGGAATTTGCTTATGGGAAGAATGTAAATAATCTGTGACTAGAAAACAGGGTGGGAAACAAGTCCTAAACTTCAGGACTTTGTTATAACTAATGTAGGGGCAGGAACTGGACACAGTGCAGGTTTTCTGATCCCATGCAGACCGGGTAAAGGAGGAGTCAGAGTCCTTAGTGGGTTTTTGCAGGTCTTTTATTGGGGTTCACCAGGCATATGGCAGGCAGGGGTGCTGGGGGGCTGGGAGGCTGGCAGTCCTCCCAGCCCCCAGCAAATCCGCACTCTCTCTGGGCTCTCTGGCGTTCTCTGCTTCTGCTTCTTTGCTTCTCTTCGGCTTCTTTCTCGGCTGCTGCTGGCGTCCCGGTGACGCCGCCCTTAGAAAAGCAGTCTTAGCTCAGCTGAATCCCATCTACCTATGCCCACACCCTATTCCAGGTGCCCGCCATCAGGCATGCATTCAGGACAAGGATCCATCATCATCTATCCTGATGGTGGAAGGGCAGAAAAGCCTGACATTTTCTTTACCCTACAACTAATAGCTCCAGCTACACCCATATCCATACCTTATTATTTAAATTACAGTGGGACTCCCAGAGGAACAACGGAAATAAACACTAAGACTACAGGACTGTGATGTGTGCCACACTGCTGGTGGTGGGGGGTGGTGTGGTGGGTGAGCAGAGGCCCCAAGCCAGTAAGGACTCATGTGCTTCCACAAGGAAACGGTGTGTGAAAGAGAAAGGAAGGGCACAAAGCAGGAAAGCTGCCCACTGGGGGAAGTCAGGCCTGGCTTGGAGGCTGAAGAAGTCCAAGAAGACGCGGGTGCAGAGCAAACACACTATTTTAACAAGTAATTTTAAAATCCCTTAAAGAAAAATATATAAAATTTTCAAACTTGATTTTATGATTTGTTGATGTGAGTCCTGTTCGGAAAATGAGATTTCCCAGCTTTAGCACCCAGAGCCTTGGGGGGCTGAGCCTTCACTTTGAAATGCTTGTTCCCGTGGACAGCTGAGGACATGGTCGTGTTTTCTCACAGGTTTTGGTCTTGCCGTCTTCTCGCCCCTGGCGCCTGTCACAGGTGTTCTCAAATCTTCACCAAACTCTGAGTTCCCAGGTGGCTTAGGGTGTCATATCCCCCAGAGGTATTCACACCTTTACAAGCCCTACAGAAAAACTGAAAAGCTCTCTCCACCACAGACAGGGAGGACGCGGGGAGGCATTTCTAACAGTCTGGGGACACTTCTTTTTCGGAGGCCAGGGCCGCACCCTGACAGCACTTCCAGTTGCTTCTGTGGATGCTGCCTGGCTTCTTGCCTCCTGTCAGGGCAGCGGGGGTCACAGCCCCTTGAACGTGACCCTCTCTCCTGTGCTGCGCCCCTCTCTCCTCTCTGTCACCTCATCTGGGGACTCCTTGCCTGTGGTTGTTGGCAACAGCAGTCTGTATGGTTCTTGTTGTGTTTTGATATGTTTCCATGGCGCCAGTTGAGGTCTTCTGTAGGCCTTAATGGAAAGAGCTTGGAAGGCGGGGAAGGCTGGGGGAAGCTGGGGGAAGGCTGGGCAGGCAGCTCAGCCGGCTCAGCCGTCACCCCCACCCCAGCCCCCACCCCACCCCAGGCCCCGTGAATGCAGCGAGGACACATGGGCTGCTGTGGGAACCTGCCTTCCTGGCGTTGGGGGGGCACTTCTGAATTTCTGTTCTGAGGTCGAAATCATTCTCTTGGACCACAGCTTCCCTCTCCCCCACATATTTCTGCTGTAAACTCTGGTGACACGGATCGGCGAGGATCCAGAGATCCCCCAGCCCGTGGCTGAGGCCGCTTTCCCGGCCTTCCCACAGCCGCCCGGCCTCCCCTCACCGTGGCTGGCGCCCTCTGCATTTTGGGGAGCGTGGCCCTTCCGTGCGCCGCCGCTTCCCGCGCCCCGAAATTTCTCTTCCTTCCAGTTCCTGACGGAACCTCAGCGAGCATGTCGCTTTCCGCTTGCAGAACTGCAGCTCGCACGTGCGCAGGGCCGTGGTGACCTGCTTCTCGGCGGGCTGCTGCGGCCGGCACGGCAACCGGCCGGTGCGCTACTGCAAGCGCTGCCACTCGAACCACCACAGCAGCGAGGTGGGCGCCGCGGCGGAGACGCACCTCTACCAGACCTCGCCGCCCCCCATCAACACGCGCGAGTGCGGCGCCGAGGAGCTGGTGTGCGCCGTGGAGGCCGTCATCAGGTACGCTCGGCGGGGCCCCGCGCGCCCCGCGCGCCCCGCGCGCCCCCGCGCGCCCCGAGGCCCTCCCGGCGCGCCCGGCCGCAGGGCCGCCCCGTGTTTCCTTCCTGCAGCTCCGTTTTTCATTTGATGCCAGCGGGTGTCAGGCCCGCGGGGGCCGGTTAGTCGCCGGCCTCACGGCCGCGCGCAGGGCCTGGAGAGCAGGCGGTGACCCCGTCTCGGCGCGGGGGCGGCAGTGTCGGGGTGCCGCGGGGCTCGGAGACCCGGGCAGGCCGCGTCGCGTTTCTCTCTGTCCCAGAGGAGAAAACAGAGCCCGCGGCGGGGTGGCCGCTGACCCGCGCTCTCTGCTCTCAGAGGCGAGGCTTTGAAAAACTGATATTAAAACGTAAAATGTTAAGGGTAGGCTTACGTCTTCTCAGTTTCTCTCATCCCAGTGGCTGACACATGTAGAAATGCAATACATGTTTGTCAGATAAAACATTTCAGAAAGTTTGGAGATAGAAGAGTGAGCAGCCAGCATGGTCCTATTTTTCCAGTTTGGTCACATGATGGTTTATGACCGAATCACAGCGTAGCCACAATTCTTTTTGGATTTGCCATTACACCATTAGCTCTTTTCCAGGTAATGTAGCTTCCAGAGTTGTTATTCTTAGTGGGTACATAACAGTCATCTTTCCCTCACCATTAAATGTTTATATCGCTTCCAATTTTTACTATTATAAATGATTCTTTGGTAAATATTTTTATGTACCATGTCTCTCCTGTATTTTTATTTTCTTCGGGCCGATGACCACATATGCTTGGCTAGGTCCAAGGGCATGAATATTTTAATGACTTTCTATACAATGCCAAATTGCTTTTCAGAGTGTGTATTTGAATTTACAAGGTAATGGTGCACTATGAAATTGCTAATTTTTGCTACACCCTTGCCAACTCTGGGTATTATTTTAAAAATTGTCCGTTGTTTAGCAAATTGGAAAAGGGGTATTTGTTGTTCAGGGCTTTGAGTACTAGATTCTGAGTTTTTTTTCATTGGGCTACAAGTTCCTCAGTCTCTTCTTTTATAGCACATTTGATGTCCACAACACATAGAGGAGGAACATTGACTTCTAGTGGGGTAATTGGCAAACCAGAAGGCAGATCTGTCCGTCCTGTTTGATTGGAAAAAGTAGCCTGTTTGTGCCTTAGTTTGTTCACATTTAAAACGGGGATGGAGTACAAACTGAGGAAATGAAATTAGGCTTTTTGGAGTAACTCCTACTAACTTATTTTTTTTAAAGATTTATTTATCATACAAGAACTGCGGTACAAGCCAGAGGTGTGGGGTGGTAAGAGGATTCACCAGAGACAGAGTGGGGAGCAGAACAGGCAGATCTACTGAAACACACTGCTGAGGGGAACAGCTGGTGAGACAGGAGAGGTCTGCTGCGCCATGTGGGTATCTCCCTGGCCGGGCATTGAACTTGTGCTGCAGAGGCTGTGGATAGCTTCATAGTGCTGTGCTTAACCCTTTGCACCACCAGGGAGGCCCCATAACTCTTATTCCTCTAGAGGAGAGCTTGAGTATCTATGAAGTAACTGGAATAGGTCATAATCTGGAAAAAACCATTCTCGGTAGCCTGACTTGAAATCTCTCCTCTTTGACAGCTTGTTGAAAGAAGCCGAGTTTCACGCTGAGCAGCGGGAATATGAGCTGAACCGGCGGCGGCAGCTGGGCCTCTCCTCCTCCCATCACTCCCTGGACAACGCTGACTTTGACAACAAGGATGACGATAAACACGACCAGCGGCTGCTCAGTCAATTTGGAATATGGTTTTTAGTAAGAAAGAGAATTTAATTCTCCACTTCATTTTGCATTCCAACATTGCACTCACGATGAATTCTCCTATTTAAAGAAGTAAAAGATTAACCCAAGCAGTAGGATGCTCTAGTTGAGGGCAATGGTTTTTAGCCATGAGCACCACCATTAGATCTGCTCTGGAGACTTTTAAAAATTGACAATGTCCAGTTCCTGCCCTAGAAATCTGGGGACTTGGGGAAAAAAGCTCCCTGATTGATTCTAACAAATAGCCATGCGCTTAAACTTACTTGGCCAGACCCTAAACCGAAATGCACATTTGGCAGGAAGTAAATGGGAAAATTGCTAAGGTATATAGTCAGATATTGGGTTCAATACAATTTACAGATGACTCTCATCTCATCATCTGCATACAGTTGAAAGACTACGGCCAAACTAACACAAATGATGGCTATTCAGTCATTCAATTTCAACATTTTTTCCAGTGGAGAGCAAATACATGGATCCAAAATTCCCAGCATGCTGAATTTGCCAGTTTGCAGAAAAGCAGGCTTTTGTTTTTGCCCCTTTGGTGACATGGATTAAGTCCCCGTAGTGATACATCTTTTTTATGCTTTTACATGGTCTTTTTAATTTATTTTATTTTATCTTATTTTTTTAAGATTTATTTTTATTTGTACAAGAACTGAGGTACAGATCAGAGGCATGGGAGGATGAGAGAATTCACCAGACAGAGCAGGGAGCAGAACAGGCAGACAGACCAAAGACACTGCTGAGGGGAGCAGTGGGCAAGGCAGGAGAGGTCTGCCATGCCATTTGGGTTGCTCCCTGGCTGGCTGGGGATCAAACCCGCGCTGCAGAGGCTGTGGACAGCTTCACAGCGCTGTGCTCAACTTGCTGCACCACCGGGGAGGCCCTACATGGTCTTTTTTAAGCTTTTATATGGTTGTCTGAAAAGGATTTGTTACTAAGTTTCAGGGTAAAAGGTTTCAAGGATAAGGGATTAAATTTTTTTTAAGATTTATTTATTTATGCATACAAGAGCTGGGGTGCAGGCCAGAGGTGCGGGGGTGAGAGGATTCACCAGAGACAGAGTGGGGAGCAGAACAGGCAGGTCTACTGAAATACACTGCTGAGGGGAGCAGTGGGCAAGACAGGAGAGGTCTGCTCCTGTCACCTCCCTGGTGGGGGATTGAATTTGTGCTGCAGTGGCTACAGGTCACCTCCCTGGTGGGGGATTGAACTTGTGCTGCAGTGGCTGCAGATAGCTTCATAGACTTTAACCCCTTTTGCCACCAGGGAGGCCTCAAGGGATTAAATTGTTGAGTTCATATGTTTTGCTTCTAGAACTTACTATTTAGTGACATTATGGCTACTCGTATGAAATCTTTAAAGGCAAGAATAATAGCTTATTTATTTTTTGTATTCTTGGACCGTGCTACATATTTAGTAAAATAATTTATGAATGAACAAATGAATGATAAGCCATTTTAAAAAGTTTTATTTATAATGTGGTGAATTAGGGGCTTCTAAGTTTTCAGAATGATTATAGATATTCTTACCTAAACCTGATCATTTTAGAATTGAAATGTATATAGGTTATTTTTCACTGAAGGTATTGATGAGATTTTACTTTGTAGGCTTAAGTTTTAAAAGCTTTTATCTAGTGGAGATTATGTAATAGATTTGTTATAGGAGAAAAAACTTATTGAAAGGTGCAATCTTGAGAAGAGACTATTGGTGCAGTCTCTCTCTTTCTGTAGAAGAGGAACATGGTTTCAAGGATAAATAACCCTCCATTGTTTATGAAACTGCCTATTTCAAATGGATTGTGTAGGAATTTTTTTTTTTTTTTTGCTTTTAATGAGCATGTCGTAAGTATGTAAAAGTGGATGGAGTATGATGCATAGTCCAATCTGCCTATTTCCAGGTGAGCCTTTGCACGCCCAGTGAAAACACGCCTACGGAAAGTTTGGCCAGGCTGGTGGCCATGGTATTTCAGTGGTTTCACTCCACTGCATATATGATGGATGATGAAGTCGGAAGTTTAGTGGAAAAACTGAAGCCTCAGTTTGTCACCAAGTGGCTGAAGACAGTATGTGATGTTCGCTTCGACGTCATGGTCATGTGCCTTCTTCCCAAACCAATGGAATTTGCCAGGGTGAGTGGAGAGCGACAGTCTGAACCTCGCTGGAGAGGACTTGGGAGAAGCTCTATCTTAGCCATCATAGCGTTACTGGTGTCTGCAGAAGAGGAACGTATCTCTCCTTTTTTCAGTCAATACTAATGAGCTAAGTGAGTTGGGTTTAGTAACTGTATTTGAGGGTCATGAACTACTTGGATGTTGTTTCAGGATGGGGAAGATGACATGATGTGTTTGTAAAATGTCTCTAAGAATTTAAGGGAATATTCTTTCCTGAATTGCAGAATATTTTAATTAAGTAACAGGAAAAGAAAGCTCTCTATGTGGTTGCTTTGGCAACCAGTCCTGTTCTGGTCTACAGTCTGTGGAAAGGCTAGTATGTGAATGGGGGCATGGCCTGTGGTTTCACATGTAGTGGAGACAAGTGGGGGAGATCATGCCTGCCATGTGGAGTGCTGAAAAGGTTGAGGGCCTGCCAAACACCTCTTCTCCTCTAGCTCAGAGGACAGATTTCTCTATGCTTTTCCTCTTGCTTCTGCCTCAGTGGCTCACAGGCTTTGGATGTACTGCTGGGAAGACCCCACATTCCTTGACTACAATATAATTTGTGAACCTTGTGTCTTACTCAGCAAGGTGGAAGTCAAATTTTTGGAGGCAATATATGAATTTTTTTCCCAAGGTATTTTCTAATTATTTTTTATTTGCGATTTTTCAGTTCGCTTTCAGTGAGGTCTTGAGGCAATTTTCAGCATAAATAAGAGATTTAAGGATAAAACAAGAGTAGCTGTTAATAGATTTCCAGGACTCCGAGCATTCTGTGCATTTATCAAGATAGACTTCTCTCTTCTTTGGTGCCACCTACTGACTCACATATAAAATTGGATTTTTGCATAATGAAATTTCCCCATTTCCTGTTATTCTTTGAGTGTGTTGATCTGTTTCCTATTATGATTTCTTTTAGAATAGTAAAGAATCAGTTTGATGTGATTCTGGAAGATAAGAAATGAATGTGTTGGGAGGATAATGTTTCCTCTTCTGACTTGTTTCCTCTGGCTAAGGACTGGCATTTTAACTGGCAATGGACAAAAAGAAAAGAAAAAGCTTGTTTATGCTTACACACAGGAGCACTCAGCGATGAATAGCTCCCACAAAAGTCTGAGATAACAGGTTTATATACCAAACTTAACTTGAGGGGAGTAGTTAGGGCTTCAATGGGAAGGTATGGAAAGTTCTTTTGAGCTTATTAGTGCTAATGGGACTGGGCAGTCTGTTCTCCCAGTAGCTGACTTCACTGGAAGCTCCACCTGGAGGGAGTTTATGGCAACTGTCCTTTCTGGAGTGTCTGCTTTAGTCAGATAAAGCAAGCTTGGATAAAGCTTCTCTGTACATCTTATGTAGCTGACAGGTTTTCATTTTAAATTGATCTTTATACCAACTCTGGGGGAGCTCAGTGGGTCCCCGTATTTCTCCTATCCAAAACTTCCTTACAAGTTTCACACAAAAAAGGAAGTAGGTTGATTGCTTAGGGGAAAAGATTCTGGTGAGGAACTACAACATAAGAGATCTGCAAAGGAGGAAAAGAACATTGATTCAAACAAAT